TGAACTTTTCATTGTTGAGTTTATTTGAAAGAGCCACAGTGCCATCTAGTGGTTAATGAGTGAAATACATCTGGGTGTGACCAAGAAAGTTTATAAAACCAGAAGTTCAGACCTGTGTGTGGCAGAGCAAAGAACAAAGGATGCCTTAAGCACAAATCCCTGCGGGCTGTTTCCATCTTGGCCTAGCAGAACCCGGTGCTTTAGAGTTGTCAAGTAATTAGCTCTCAAAAGTTGCGGTAAAACTTAGAAGCAAGTCCGTTTGTTTTGTTTTGACTTTCTACATGAAACCGGAAGTCAGCGTGTTCGGTCGAGTTCTCACATTAAGAGTGAACCCCAAGTTGGAACCGTTTCTCTGATTCGATCTCGTTTTGGATAATTCTGAGTGGCGATCTGAATTCCATGTTTGGTGTAGCTGGAGGAACCGAAAAGTCAAGCCACGATCGAGGATTACAATATCCTCCCCTTCCACGACCGACGTTGACCGACCAGGGAGCCAGCACCATTTAATCCAAAAAGTCCTCGGCACGAGCCAGGAGCCCAGGCTGTTGGAGCCGCTGGCCACCCTTCCGGCGACGGAAAGCAGGTCTGTGAGCATTTCTATCTGGCTGGTTTTCTGCCATAAGCTGATTCGTGAATTCAGATTATTGCATTTCTTTTCTGGCGTGTTTATTTTGATCAAAATTCACGTTTAGCTCTGAAGATGTATCCTCTTTTCTCTGCTAACACACATGCCACCTCTCGTTTGCATCCACTCACCCACAGGAACACACACACACACACACACACACACACACACACACACACACACACACACACACACACACACACACACACACAATGTCACTTTGCTCCCTTTTAGAAATTATTCCCCATTTTCCTATAATCGTGGTGTCACCAAATTTCCACGTTATTACAGATCAGTTATTCCATATCACTGCCATAAAGCTTTGGGTTAACTACTGTGCATGAAACAATGAGATGTGTTTGGTTCTTTTGTCCATGCCTTAACTGATGTTTGTAATGAACTCACAAAAACGTCAATAAAGCCTGATCATTTCTAGCAATTCTCGAGAATAATTGGTGCATGGTGTTAGCTTTGAGACTGATTAATATGAGCAGATGTAGACAGTAAATCCAATGGTCCAGTTCCACAAAACTGGTGGTGCCTCGATTAATTAATATGAGCTTATAAACAACTAAACAAGCTAAATCTACGCCACATTTGAAATATAGATATAAATCTATATTTATCGCTACATTAGCATGCTACCCCAGTCATGGCTCACTCCAGCAGTTCAGGATGGACAAACAGACAGGGACACAAAAGCTTTCTAAGTAATTTATCTTAATAGTTTTCAGAGTTTCTGAGTCAGTTTCATGCTCGTCCTTGGGGACCATTTGTGAAATACAAAATTAATTCTGAGTTTTGTTGGAGCACTTTCTCATTCCTCCCATGAGGTCCTTAATCTCCTTTAATCTGGAAGAAGACATGGAATAAAAAACAAATAGATGTCCAACAGTGGGGATGTGTATTGGTGAAATTCTAGCAGTAAGATATTAATCATGATACAGGGGAGATGATAGAACATATCGCGATATATTGCGATACATTCAGTCAGACGTTATCAGCGATTTTTTAGACTGAATTTATTGTAGGAAAATTCAATAAACAGTCCAAATTGATACTTAACATGTTTAACATAAAGTATCTCAACCATAATAGAGGAATTTACATTTCAATGGTGGAAACAAAACCCATTGCACACTGCTGCTTCCTAGTGGTCAGTGTTTGAATTGCACCAAAAGAAAAAAATAAATAACAAATGTTTGCATGTACCGTATTTTCCGGACTATAAGCCGCTACTTTTTCCCACGCTTTGAACCATGCGGCTTATAATGAGGTGCAGCTTTACTGAAGATTTCCCTTCACCTCCCAGGGGGCGCTTTAGCAGAAAGTGAAACAGGTGGAAGTCAAAAGTGGAAATTAAAGAAAATGCTCATTTTAATTTAGCACATGCAAGCAGCCGGCACAACGAAGATTTTTTTTCAAATCCATACCCCCTCATCATGAAAACTACACGTATGAGTTCATATAATGCCGCATTTAAGTTGAAAGCCATCGATCTGGCAGTAAAGGAGGGACACAGTGCTGCCGCACGTAAGCTTGGCATGAATGAATCCATGGTTCGGCGCTGGAGACGGCAGCGGGAAGAACTCATTCAAGCCAGCTTCACCCGGGGATGATGACAGCAACACAGACAGCGACACTGACATCTCCACAGAAAAAGTATGTGACGAAGCTCTCCTGAGGCCGTTCAACTCCGACACTGAAGAAGATGACTTCAGTGGTTTCAGTGCGCAGGAGGACGATGAATAAACTAATCAATAACTTTTCTGTTTTGTTTGATACTGATCAGTTCAGTTACATTCAGTTAAACTACGTTTTTAATTCAGTAGTATCCGGTAGATATCTGCGGCTTTTAGCCCGGTGCGGCTTATATAAGTGCAGTTCCATGTTTTTTTTAAAAACCTAGTAGGTGCTGCTTATATTGAGGTGCGCTCTATAGTCCAGAAATTACAGTAAATTCTTCCAAAAATTTGATATACGGCTGTTGAATATCAATATCATATTGCAGGGAAAAAAAATATCACGATATAGTGCCATATCGATATTTTCTTACATCCCTATCAAGCAGCTTCATTGATCAGGAAATAAGGCTGAAAATTTTTCTAGTAAGAGTTACATTTTTTTGTATGAAAAGCACTTTATAAAGTTTGATTTGATTTGATTTAAATTTTCCTGTTTAATCCGATTAATCAAGTCAAGACCCCATCCGATTCATCGATGATCCATATAATCGTTTGTTGCAGCCCTGAAAAATACAATAAAAGCTTTTCTTTTTAGCAGCTTTATTTGCCTCGCGTAAGCCAGAGGAGCCAGTACGAGTGTAATATACTAATATACTAAGGAAATATATTTATACATTCCTAGTTAGATGTGCATCATTTTACCAGAATCTAGCTTGTGAAATACAGAGGTAGCTCTAATGACACAAACTTATGCAGCAATTTTGCCTTTGTGAACCTAGGATTGTTAATTACTCAGTAAAATTGTTAAATTATAAAAAAAGAAGTCTTTTAACTGAGTCCATATCTTTGAATCCAAAGTAGTTGGAACGGGGCTTTACAAGTTAGCAGTTCTGTTTGATATCAGACAAAAAGGAATTACAGTTAGACTTGCAAAGTGGGAGAGAGCTCCAGGAGATGCAAAAGTCCAATTTATTACAAATAAAAACGTAAGAATCACACAGCAGGTGTGTCTGTGCTTGAAAGATCATTAAGTTTTATGTTTGAACCATCTGTATTAGAAGAAAGAGCCACCACAAAATAGTTTACTGAATGTGAATGCCTACATGCTAAAAAATTAAATGTTGAATTTACTTAAACAAGTTATGTCAACTGGATCTACTAAACATAAATGTAAAGAGTATTATACACAGTTTTAACATGACAACATATAACAAGATAAATGAAGATAGATAGATAGATAGATAGATAGATAGATAGATAGATAGATAGATAGATAGATAGATAGATAGATAGATAGATAGATAGATAGATAGATAGATAGATAGATAGATACATAGATAGATAGATACATAGATAGATAGATAGATAGATAGATAGATAGATAGATAGATAGATAGATAGATATAGATTTAAATGTAATCACCTAGGTTTAGTGGAACTAGTTGATACCACTTCCTGAAGTAATTTTTTGAGTGTAATAATAAAAACATCTTTTAAGACACTGAATTTTAGAAATAATTTTTTTCAGTGAAATTTAGTATTTGTTTTTTTTTACTTTAAATACCAGCAAAAATTTTATCTGTAAAATTCAACTGCTAAATTTCAGCTGCAACATTAAATGACGTGACCTCCTAGTGACCCAAGTCAAAGTGTGACTGGATTGAGACACGTGGCTTTTGCCAATCAAATTACCGTATTTTCCGGACTATAAGCCGCTACTTTTTCCCAAGCTTTGAACCATGCGGCTTATAATGAGGTGCGGCTTTACTGAAGATGTTCCTTTACCTACAAGGGGGCGCTTTAGCAGAGAGTGAAACAGGTGGAAGTGAAAAGTACAAACTGAAGAAAGTGCTCATTTTAATTTAGCACATGCAAGCAGCCGGCACAACGAAGAATTTTTTTCTAATCCATACCCCCTCATCTCGGTAACTACACGTATGAGTTCATATGATGCCGCATTCAAGTTGAAGGCCATCGATCTGGCAGTAAAGGAGGGAAACAGTGCTGCCGCATGTAAGCTTGGCATGAATGAATCCAACGTTTCCTAAGTAAAAATACTTTCATTTGCATTTGCAGTCCGATGGGAGACTGGCAGCACTCTCCATTGTCCATGAACTACAGTTCCAAAGGTACTCAATAGCACTTATATTTGCATTTTGCCCCCTCCACCCCAGTCCAACAGAAAACGTCTACACGCATATTTAAATGTTGATTGAATACTTTTTTTTCACCTTTACATACATTAAAAAATTGACTCCTTGATTCACATTTATCTGTACATTTGCTTTAGTTTAAAAAATTAAGTACTTCTGCCAGCACTGATAGGAAGGAACTGATCCTTTGTTTGGCATCAGTGAGTCAGGAAACCCAGTTAACCAGAAACAAAGACAGGTGACTTAAGGATATCTAGTTAGGATTTAGTTAAATGTACATGAAAACATTCATGAACTTTCATTAAAAATAAATGAATACATAAATCGATAAATAAATAAATAAATAAACACCTTTCTGTCTGTAACACCATTAAACTTCTCTTTCTGCACACATTCCAACCATTTTGAAGCTTAGGTCGTAATGAATCCAAATATGTCTCACAATACTCGGCACTTCAGTTACACAGAGAAATAAGCCAAAGATAAACAAACAAGTCGTTTTTCTCCCAGCTGAGCAAAAAAAAAAAAGTTTCTTACCTTTGATGTTGTGCCTTGAAAATTCGTTTAATCCACATTTCTCTTCATTTATAATTAGCCCTACCTGTTGTGTTACACTGGAAACAGTTGAGACGGAAAGCAAAAGCTTTATCACCGAAAACAGTTTGGCAACTCGAACACCTCTGATGGCTGGCCTTGTTTGTCTTTCGTGCATGTCTGTGTTTTGACGAGTCTCATTGGCTGACTGTACTGTCAATCTCATTTTGGTGCCGCCTCATTTTAATGGCCCTAACGATCCAAAAGAGGTGACGGTCATCCGAATTGACCAATCAGTCACGGAGATATAAGGCTGCGTGATGGGCTTCGGGAACTGCTCTAATATACCCACAGCTGCATCGTTACACGTGACGTGCACGTGCAGCCATTTAAATAGCAAGCAGCAGTTTAAAACTGTATTCGTCACAAAATGACTACATTGTTTACAAAAATAAAGATCTACACATTTTTACTGTTTTTTTATTAAAGCTTTTTGGTTAATATTTATATTTTTAGTTTGCATATATTTACAATATTTTTAAAATAAATATCTTCCATTTGGACTCAACATTCAGTTGTGTCAATGTTATTGATTTAGGAAATTTGAGAAAATAGGGACAAAAAATTCATTCAGAATTTTCACAAATTTATAAAAACTGCTGCATTTGACTGTTTTGAATCTGTTTAGTCACATAATAATTTTAAATGTATTATTGCACAAGAAAAAAGTCAAATGGCACAGATGGTGCCACCCTGCTTGAGACATCTCTAAATTGTCGACATAGAAACTGACTGTTGTTCTTCTCTTTATCAAACTCAAACTTGTGCAGCTAATGTCAACATGTTTAACTATGACTTCACTGAGGTTTCAAACTGAAGCTTCATTTTTCCAAATAGATATTCTTCCTGAAATCTAATTATCTTCAGTCGGGAAAGGAAATAAAACACGTTCATACAATGTTCTACATATGTTTACATTTCATCAATAACACCTATAGTAATATTCACACATTCCAACAAATCCCACAAGGATTAATTTTTAAGTGCGACCAAAAGTAATGAAATAGGCATTGTTGTTACAGTAATAAACTCATTAAGCATGTAGGACAAAAAGGGTTAAAGATCCTTGGTTAAAATTCACCGCTCTTTCCAATAAACGTTACATGCTTTCAGGGAAGTTTCCAGTATTTTGACTCTGTCCTGATAAATTGTGTCTTCTGAGTCCATCGCCTTAACTCTTGTCTTTCACTGCTTATTCATGAAAAGAAAAAATCTTCCAGAATCCCTAGGGATTGACGCGCTGCAGCCAGTGACACCAGATCCTCGGCTTTGTTCTTTATCAGGATAACTCAGGGTTTGCGATAGTGCAGGACAGCAGCAGGGCCTTTAAACACAGCACAAATCTCAGTCTTGAGGGGTCACTGTTGGTTCCAGGAATCACGGGCATGAAAGAGCGGATTTAAAAGTCGACCCAAACATCTCTCCACCTTCCTTTGAAGGCATCATGTAAGACTTGGTATCACACTGTCCCCACTACCTTGTTTTCTCCTCCTTAAAGCCTCCAGCAGACGTGTCCACGCCTTCAGATGTGACATTTTCTCTCTGACTATCTACTCTTGTTGTGTGTGTTTCTATAGCTGCAGACGGGATAACCTGTTCAGAACTGCGCAGAACAATTTTGGACAGGTCATCCTAAAATTTTCCCCCAAAAAATCTTCACACATTTGTCCGAAAACACACGGGTCACTGGGCTAAATCACGACATCAATCAAGCAAAAAGAGTGAGTGTTAGACGAGGATGCCGCTGGCTTGAGGAGATATTCCCAAAACGCAGCAGTGTTATCTCCCACTCTGCAGACATGCATGCATTGCCTGCAGCTTCACAGGAAACACACAGTTGGGACCTTCTTGTTTAATTATAGCTCTTCAGAGTGATGCTGCACATTAACTTCATTTTCCTGCATTAATGACCGTCGTAACGCATCTCGTGGCTTCTCCCTCTCTATTTTCAGAATGTTGACTTTTATTAGTTGATTACGAGGCACAATGGCTTGTAAATAATGACGTTGTGATGATGCTCCAGGATGTACCAGCTGATCTGAAGCCGTGGAGTTGGCAGTAACCGAAGCACCTTGACAGCTCTGAGTGGTGTGTCAGCAGCAGAGCTTCACTTTCTTTTCTTGGGCGCTGATGTGAAAGTCGGCTGGAGAAGGAACAGACCCGATTTTGAAAGTCACGCCAGGAGAAGAAAAACTCAAGAGCCACAGTGTTGACTTCCTGTCTCCCAGCTTTGCTTGAAGAGTTTGATCTGAGAAATCTGCTTTTGTTGTGTCCTTCAACCTGAGAGTTTGAGGGAGAGAAACTGATGTTTCCTCCAAAGTCTGCTTTCAATATGGTTCCCAGAAATACACACAGAGTTTTGGGGAAGTCTGTTTTCTCAGACGCTCCTTTAAGTTCTGGTTCAACAAAACCTAATGAAACTGAAATAATCAAACCATAGCAATGACTGAAAACTTGCTGAGGGTTTGTGGAAAGGGCTAAAACATGTGGTCTGGAGAGGGAATCCTTCAGACCTGAGACAGATTTCTTATGAAGACTGGACCAGAATACATATTGATGGGTTAGGGTTTGAAACACACCAGTACACTAAAGGCATCTTTATTTTGTCCAAACCAACTTCATTAGCGTCAATGGCAACATTTGAAAACAAATTAGCTTAAAATACCTTTTTCATGCTTCTTAAAATCCTTCTAACATAATTTAGCTATAAATATATTGTTGAGATAAAAGAAAACAAAACATTTCATAAAGTGGTTCTTTCAAGTTTGTCCAGAAACCTCCACCAATAACACACTGAAAGCAACCACTGGACTATTCGGTTGTTGTTACACCAACCTCCCCGGGTCCTCCATTCATCACACATTTAACAACAGATCACCACTGGTGTGAGAGGTTCTCCACTCAGTAATATCAGGGATGGAGAAACAGCCAGCTGCTTCCACTTCAGTCCCAAAAAGAAAAACACCATTTGAAGTCACGGACAACAAAAGATGTTTGGACATAGAAAATGGAGACTGGTGTTTAGCACTCTCTCGTTTCCTCTGGCAATGTGGGTCTTCAGTTCCGACAGAAGCATTTCAAGGAAGATATCTAAGGTGGGGTGGGGGTGGGGGGTGAGGGGGAGTGTTCTGTGGCGGTGTTTTCATTCAAAACCTGGCTTTTTCTGTAGATTTGCTATAGCAGCTTTAATTATGTTGATCTAAAAAAAAAACTTCTGACTTACGTCAAAGTAACACTTAGGAGTTTTCCACACTTTTTAAAGCTGGAATTTGGAACACGAACGAAAGCGATATCTAGTGTGTGGAGGTTGTAGTTGCAACAACAGAACAAGGTTTCCAGCCATCGTGATGCCAGGACACGCTGTCGATACGTGGAATCTTTTGTTTAGGTCCATCTGTTGTAGGCTTCACCTATAAGCTCACTCTGGTTTTATATCTTTTGTGGTCGCTCCTCTTCTCGTCTCGTTGTGCCGAGCGGACTGTATGTCATCCCGCAACAGTTTCCTCTATTGGTTGGTGGGTGTAAACGTAAACCCAGTGTCGTGCCCATCAAAATAAATGTTTGATTATTTTTTTATTAAAATATAGTGTTTAAAGGAAACATTTTAACTTCATTCTGCATACCTCTAAACACTCCATGGAGATACTGTTTTTTATTTTTTTATTATTATCACGTTTTATTACATCGTTCCAAATTCAACCTTTAAGCTATTACTTTCAAACTGGTTTTGTTGATTCTTGAGCCAGAAACCTGAGCCACTACTCATGGGACAGCACTGTGCAGCCCTCATCTGGCCAGAAACTGCACTAAACAACTTTGGTGGTTCAGGTATGGTTAGCTCAGGGTTGAGTTGACTGTGTCGGTAGCTCACACAAGGCTAGCAGTTAGCATTCTCAGTTGGCTGACCGCCAATAAAAATCATTACAAGAAGAATTTCGTTTTTTTGTTGGCATCGTGGTGGAGTCTGGAAGTAAAGGTAAGAGAGTAATGTCTTTGGAGACAAAGTAAAGAGCTAGAACCAGAGTGAACATGGGCACGGCCTTCATTCAAAGGCTGTGGCAGGGTTGTTTACAACGTTGTAATTCCGATTTCAACCTGTAGGGGGAGAAGCAGTGTCACTTTGAAATGGAGATTTACAAAAAAAAACGTGATAATTGCTCTTTTTGGAATATGATCATCACACTGAGTTTCACATGCATAGTTTTTTACCCCCTATTTCCTGCATTAGCCGCAGAAATAAAAACCAGAGAAGAAACAGTTGGGTCAGAAAAAGCCACACAGATGTGCATCACACTGTAAATTTGCATTCATGGCTCACCTGTCTTCGCTTGCAAACTGGGATCGCTGTGTTGATTTTGCAGCCAGGAGAGAGTAGAGAGTGTAGAAGCTAACCATTAGCATTAGCATGAGCTGCAATCTGTTGGAACACGTTGAGGTTTGTGTTATTTGTGAAGAGGACACATCAATGTTGCATTTTTTACCCACGAAAGAGGAGCGAACGGAGGCAGCAGAAGAGTCGTGTTGCTCAGAGGTGAGATTTTGCACATTATGAATATAAATAAGTAAGACTCGAAGGCTTGGTTTATGCTTGACGTATTTAGTTTCCGCTTGGTGATGCGGCTCGCGGATGGAACGCGCTTCACAACTTGCAGCGTTTATGGTTCATGCGGCTGGTCTCTGCGGTGAGCCAACATTCTCCCAAACTGAACGGGGCAGCATGGAGCTCTACGGCATGCATCCAACACTACACCATAGTAGAAGTAAAAATTACTGTTGTTTACAACATGGCATTCCAGCATTTTTTAACAGCGTCCTCGTTTTTCTGACAGTGCGAGCTATTTCTCTCCCAAGAATTATTAACAACATGTTGATCACCGTGATCTTGAGAGCTGAATCATACAAATGTCTGTATTTACTGTAACGTGATGAAGGAGCCATTTCTCCCTTCTAACAGCTGTTTCTGTTTGGCACAGTGCCAGAGCGCATGAAACAGCCAAGGTCATGCATTCACTTCTATACTGTTACATTCCAGCAGTGAAGACAGAAGAACGAAGAATGAACTCTTTTCTTTTAATTAATCAAAGAACTTTATTTTAATAAAGCTAATCAAAACAACTGTTAGTCAATAATAACCATGTGACCGATCTGTGAAATCACAATGTTATGAATAATGTTTAATAAGTAAATGACTTATGCTAGCCACTAGTCAGCTGACACACAAAAGATAAATAATCACGACACATTCCGGTCGCAAATCCAATCAGAACCTTCACTCTGAAGCGTGGCAGAGTCTCTGTGGTGTTTATTTAATCTGTCAGCTGTGATTCATCCAGAATCATAAACATCAAGATTAATAAAACAGAACAACACCGTTTTCAGTTCAGTATTCAGCCGGCTCTCAAGATCCCCTGAAGTTCATCATTGCTAAGTGAAGTACGGACCGGCCATCTGTACTTTTTACTATTAAGCCGAGAACTGCCAAGCTGGGA